GAAGAGTGCCCCCCCCCCCAAAAAAAAACCTGGATCCCCCCCCAAAATTTCCTGTTTTTTGATTTATGACGGAGAGAGGCCGGGTGGGGGAGAGGTGGAGAAGGATGAGTCGGGGTGGGGCGTGGGTTCCAGAGGGGGGCCTTCCCGCTCGGGCGGGTCTAGGGGAAGGGTGCCAGGGGTGCCCACCCCCCCCCCCCCCCCCTCCGAGGTGACCTGCGGTTTTCTAATATAACCGGTATTCTGCAAAAAAAAACTATGTGGTTTATTGGTGTTGAAGTAGAGCAAGAGACGAGTGCACCCCCTCCTAAAAAAAATCCTGGATCCGCCCCTAATATTTCATGTTTTTAGATCTCGTAACTTCACTCTCCTAATTTTCACTGGTTAAACTGTGTTTGATTTTGTCAGATAAAATAACTGAGATACAAGCAATTTTTTTGGACGAAAAACTCATTTTTTATTACATAAGTACAATCCTATGACACCTATTTATTATTTATATGTTTTATTAACCAGATAGTTGCCTGCGTGCAGACGTCTCCTATTTCCTTTGTTGCACGCGGAAAAGGGACCTTTTCCGCGTGCAACAAAGGAAATAGGAGACGTCTGCACGCAGGCAAGCCAGATAGTTATATAGTTATATTTAGTAGGCCAAACCTTTTAATGGCTTTTTTTTATTACTGGTGCAATAATCCCCCTGACTGGGATGCTGGGAAAACGCTCAAAGCTTGCAAATCTCATGTTCGTAAATCTCTCCCATGCTTTTCGAGAGTTTTTCCAATATCCCATCACATGCGTGTGCTTATTGCGGTAGCCACCCAATAATAAGGATTAAGGCGTGGTAGTACTGTAGTCAATGTAGCTGGTATAGACTTATTTAGTAATAACAATAAACAATGCAACTTTGCTGTGTCTGTCGTGCAGTTGTAACTCCGTTGTAATGATGATAATAATAATAATAATAATACAGTTATATTGGGCTTATTCCTAAAAACTCCGCAAGCGCTTCACATCAATGTCACTTTAAAAGAATAAACTTTGAAAATAAATACAATCAAATATGAAATATTTTTTAAATCCTAAAAATCTCTTTAAAAGTTGAAATATAACATAATTGAATAAAACCTAAAAAACTAATCTATTCTAAACTCAAAAGTTAATTTCCAATATACCGGCTTTACGATTGTGAGGGCATGCTGGGTAATCAGGACAAGATGCTAAAGATGGTGGAATAATCAAAAGTTTGTAGGGGAATACAAAGTCATTTAATTCTTGCTAATTGAAAATATGCACTGTATGTCACTTTCCCTTTGAAAAATGTAACTAATGAGCTTAAAGAAACTACACACTAAATCATGGGTGCATAGCAGTCCTTTGTTGCTTTTTAGGAAACCTGAGTCCTTCCGTTCAACTTCTGTAATCCGACAGCACAAAAATTTCAGAAAATGTATGGAAGACGTCAGATTTTCTAAAAAGCGACAAAGGACTGCTGTGCACTCCACATTTAGTGTATAGTTTCTTTAATTTCATTAGTTTAAGTCTGCAAAGAGAAAGTGACGAATATATTCAATTAGGAAGAATTAGTTGACTTTGAATTTCCATACAAACTTTTGAATTCCCCACCATCTTGTCCTGATTACCCAGCATGCCCTCACAACCGTAAAGGGGTCTATGTTAAAAAATGTCTAAATTTATGTCGCAACAAGATGCCTTTTTTGAAAAGGAAGGTTTTCAGCGTTCCTTTAAAGCTACCTAAGGAGTTGTCTCCCCCACCCTTTCCAAACAATCGAAGATCACCGCCAGAAGAAAACCCGCTTTGCGCGCTTAAATGTCAGCTGATTTAGCAACAGAACGGGAACGTCTGTTGACGACGGAAAGGACTAAACGCGACTTCCGGTACCCAATTTGTCGCTCTACCATTGGTCAAGCCAGTTGTTTGATTAGCGCGCCGTAGTCAACAGACGTTCCGTCTGTTGCTAAAACGAAGGCCTGATTTCCATCTGTCTGAAAACGGCGATTTCAAAGTATATGGCGACAGCTAATCTCGCCTTTGCCTGAGACTGAACAGTTGACATTTCGCGACGCCACCACTGGCTTCCCTACGAAATGACGTCTGACAAACGAGCTCAGAAATTCCATACTGATATCGTAGGCACTTCCCAGATCTGGAAAGTGCTTCTCATTGGTTGAAGCAAATTTTCAGCCAATCAGAAACACTACCCAAATCTGGGTAGTGATACGTCATCAGTATGGAATTTCTGAGCTCGTTCCTCACATGTTATTTCGCAGGAAAATCGTTGGTAGCTGTTTTCTCACGGGCTTATGGTGCCTAAATGTGCACCAAAAAAACGCCTGTGTAGAAGGAACCTCTAGATACCATAATTTGTTGCGACATCGTTTATTAAGACCCCTTTTCTTGTCTCGTTTCCTGCGCGCCTTTTCTCTTCCAGGGTGGCTCGCGGGTACGATCATTTAAATCGGCTCCTGTTTAGGGTCTTTAAACAAAGGTTTTATTCTTATAAACTCGATGATGTTGACTTACTATTTAACCATTATACACTGTCTGAAAATAATTATCGCAAGCGCCTGCAACGATTATGGGTATCATGAATAAGGTAGAGAAGCCGTTACGTCACGTTACCTTAGAAGCAATTTTTCTGGATGACAACAAATCAAAACGTCAGTTAAAAAGTGGATTCGCACTGTTTCAAACTTCATCGATCTCATTTAAGTTCATTTAATTTGTCAAATGTTGGCGAAATTTTCTGGGTTGAATCCGAAAGGACCGTATCTAAGTTCAGAAAAAGAAAAAGAAAATTTTGTGCTGTGCTCACCTACTCGATAAAGCGGAAGAGTGAAATTAGGAGGTTTCATGTCGCAGTCGCTCAACAACGGCTAAGAAACGTAAAAAAAGGGTGATGCATGTGCAAAGTTGTTCTTTTGCCAATCTAAACCTATTGATTTTTTGCTGTTGCAAAACCTCTCTATTGTTGAGATCCAGAAAGTTTTGCTACCATAGTAACATGACGTCACACTTCTCTTCTCTATTGTATAAAGAGTTCATGATAGTTTAGATGATGCCAGCAGAGCCAATGCTGCTCACTGGTTAAGGGCGTTCAATCGCGAACGCATCGGATACCTGCGTACTTAAAAGCAATCAACTGATTAAGATAGTCATCTGCAACCCCCGCAAAGATCCATTGCTCCTTGTCTAGTNTAAATCGGCTCCTGTTTAGGGTCTTTAAACAAAGGTTTTATTCTTATAAACTCGATGATGTTGACTTACTATTTAACCATTATACACTGTCTGAAAATAATTATCGCAAGCGCCTGCAACGATTATGGGTATCATGAATAAGGTAGAGAAGCCGTTACGTCACGTTACCTTAGAAGCAATTTTTCTGGATGACAACAAATCAAAACGTCAGTTAAAAAGTGGATTCGCACTGTTTCAAACTTCATCGATCTCATTTAAGTTCATTTAATTTGTCAAATGTTGGCGAAATTTTCTGGGTTGAATCCGAAAGGACCGTATCTAAGTTCAGAAAAAGAAAAAGAAAATTTTGTGCTGTGCTCACCTACTCGATAAAGCGGAAGAGTGAAATTAGGAGGTTTCATGTCGCAGTCGCTCAACAACGGCTAAGAAACGTAAAAAAAGGGTGATGCATGTGCAAAGTTGTTCTTTTGCCAATCTAAACCTATTGATTTTTTGCTGTTGCAAAACCTCTCTATTGTTGAGATCCAGAACGTTTTGCTACCATAGTAACATGACGTCACACTTCTCTTCTCTATTGTATAAAGAGTTCATGATAGTTTAGATGATGCCAGCAGAGCCAATGCTGCTCACTGGTTAAGGGCGTTCAATCGCGAACGCATCGGATACCTGCGTACTTAAAAGCAATCAACTGATTAAGATAGTCATCTGCAACCCCCGCAAAGATCCATTGCTCCTTGTCTAGTCGGTTTTGGATTCCCTTGCGACATTTCAAATACACCTTTTCTCTCTCACCGTTTTTCTCTTTCATTCAATGAGGTGTACAGTAAAAATCCGCGACCAAGAGCCTACATTTTCCCAAGTTAGCCTAAACAGGTTCTTGCATAAATGGTAATTAGAACAAATTTAGGCTATTTAGGTTAATAAATATGTTCTTATTTTCCGAAGAAAAAACTCATTGCTGCTGAGAGCATTTAGTGGTATTCAGGTTATTCCCTATAGAAAATCTGCATACCATTACATTGAAGTTAGAGTGATAAGGCACGTTTGTCTCCAAAGAGGATTCTGAATATTGACTTATCCTATTTGCCTAATTGTACGGAATTGTTTTTAGATTTTAGAAAATAAGAACCCGTTTCAAATTTTAGGCTTAACCGGGTTCTTGTGTAGAGGGGGCCTAACTGGCAAATTTTATCCTAACAGGTTCCTAAAAACCAGTACTTAGTCGCGGGGTTTTACTGTATAGAATCATCAACAAACAGAGCCTGTTAGTTGTTGGTTGGAAATAGTAGTTTCGCATTTCTAGGGATTCTGATTGGCTTATTCGAGCCAGCTTCTAAGTCAATCAGAACCAGTCACGACTTGTCACATACTTTCTCCAGCATTTGGTGTCCGCCTCATAGATTTGCTCCGAAATGTAATTAGCTGATCGAACATAAGCTGTTGTGATTTTGTGAGCCGGAACACTATCTACTGAAAAAAGCCCATCCTTGTATGCACCCTGGGTTTGAGATAATCTTAAGTTATTAACATCTAAACCTTCTCACGTCCACTGCCTAATTTTAAATGGGCACTGAGCGAGATTCCATTTATTATAGGATTATCGACAAGACCCATATAGTACGAAAGAGCGCACCAAGTTCTACAAAATCCTCAAGTCCGGTGCAATTCGGCCGTTATTGAACGAAACCATCTAAACTCCAAATTTTATTACGAAATATAGAGAAGCCCGATCCCGTACTTATTTTTTTTATTTTTTTTGAGTTTTTAAATTGCTGTATCTTATTGACCTGATTGTATATTGTCACAGTTAACACCAAACTTGAGGATTTTGTAAAGCTTGATGCGCTCTTTTGTACTAAATGGGTCTAATGTCGATAATGCTATAACAAATGGCTCATGCTCAGTCCCCCTCGGTTTGAAATTTGGCAATACAACAACCATGATGCGCGTGACGTCATCATACAAATGGGCTATTATGCTTGAACTTTCGTAAAATACTTCAAGTATATTACAAAGAGTCCATTGTAAGGCTCTTATTGAAATCCATTTATTCATTGAACATCTCGGATTTCTTTTGCTCCTTCTTTCATTGTGTCTGACACCACTCCATACACTGTAGTCCAGGCCTCTCTCGCTTCCGATGTGAAGTTCTCTCCCAGGCCCTTTTCGAGCGTGCTCAGTAAGGCAGCTCCTACCGGCTGGAAAAAAAAGCATAAAGAATACAATAATGCAAGTAAGGTCTTCGGCTAACACTTTCCATGAACTGTGGTTGGTTTTCTGCGGAACTGGTGGTAGAGGTAAATAGGCTACCGAAAAACATTTCGAAACTGAAGGAATGTCAAAAACGTATACTTGGGGTCGGGGTCAATTCATCTTTTGTTTCAATAAATGTTAATGTTTTAGTAAGATGAAAACAATAACAACAACAACAAAGAAACATAATAAAACAAAATAAATTAAGGCCCAAACAGAGGATTTTTTTTACTGACACCAAAGATTGAGCCCTCTGTGTTATTTGGAGCCGTAACTTATGGGGTAGCAATTTCTAGTGGCGTATCTCTGCTGCTGTCTGGACCTGATAGAAAGTAGTATTTGCAAGAAGGAGCCCATAACCCGGAGCTAGCAACTTCCATGTTTATTTTTAGAACGGTTTGGCGCGAATTTGAATATCTTTTAAATTCCACAAACCAGTCAGCAAAACCTACAAGCCTAAAAATGATAATTTTTGCCTTTTAAAAACCTTAAATTTTCCTTTTTGATATCTTATAATGCCCTAAAAAATGTCTTAAAATAGACTGGTCCGTAAAAACACCATGACAAAGGCCTAGTATGGGAGTTGCTCGCTTCGGGTTATGGCTCCTGTTGCAAGTCGAAATATCGCACTTCTGTGTCTTATGACAGGTCCATACAATAGGGTTTTTGGACAATTGCTGTTTGTATGAAATTTTCTGAGCTTTATTCTACTAGTGTTGTCAGTCTTGAGAGGAGGAACTAGAGGCGAAATTCCTGGGGGAGTATTCCCTGGAATTCTCGTTGGGGGTGTGCCGCCTGGCTCTCCAATTCCTGACCCTATTTCAGACCAAACAATGTCACTTTTCACCCCCGTTTATAGACCTGGCTGCAAAGAAATTATGTCATAATAATTACTTAGATTAGAACAGCAAAAAAAAGATTTCTTAAAACCCAGTACGAATTCGCATATTTGTCTTTCCTTCTTATTCGTTTGGAATAGAAACGTTCATACCTTCATACAGTCCCGTAGTTGCCTCAATTCCGTGCCAAATTGGGCAAAGTCTATACCCGTTGTCACGCCAAAACGGCGCAAAACCCTACCCTTCGGGGAGGCACAAGGAAGAACCCCCGGGGCGAAATGCTAAAGAGGCCGGGTCAAAACTTTTACTGAACTTATAATCAAATTCAAATCAATCATACCCCATAGTGGTGTTCTTCAACTTTGTACATGCTATGCCTCGCTCCCAGATCCTTAAGAGCAGGAACGACGGAGCCCAGATCGTTGAGTGAGGTCACGGCCAAATCAACATGTTGCATAGTTACCAGTGATTGCTTCTTGAAGCGCGCATCGCTTCTTAAGACGTCTTCAGATAATTCGATGTCTCTAAATGAAAACAGCTGCAGTAGCTCTGGCGAATCGGTGAATAACCTGGGCGAAGACCAACATGAGTAGTGTTTGTTTGAGTACTTTCCATACTGACGAATATTTAGAGGGTAAAAGTATATTCCTCATCAGTAAAATCCAACTAGTGGTCTATTATCAATGCTGCGTGCTGATTGGTTGAGCTACTACTAGGCTATATGTTATAGCCCAGTAAAGAGCAATCTACAGAGCTACTCTGAGCCCAGTAGTAGCGAAAAGCGCCGGCTTTTTGGCGCCAAAAAAGGGGATTAAAGTCTGGCTTTAACTAGCTAAAAATGTCTCGTCTCGATATTTTTGACCAACTAGTTGGATTTTCAGCACTAATTAAAAACAATTATTCCTCTCGCCCTCATGGCCTCTGAGTCAATGGCCATTCGGGCTCGAGGAATAATTGTTAAATAACGTTTCCAGAATCTATAATCTTTACCCTACAAGAACTGTTGTGGTGGATGACTGAGCGGTAACGGAGGGGAACTTGACGGCAAAGACCAGTTTATAGGGATTCTGTTTCATACCTACTGACTTTTTTGACCCTTAACTCCGCCTTAACTCCTGTGTATGAATTTGTACGAAATATGTGAAACACGTACCCCAGAAGAATAAATGCTAGAATTTGGCATCGTTGATTCTTCTAATTACAAAAACAGTTTGTACGTGTTTTTCGTGTTAACTCTTCAATTTGGATACAGATCAATTAGATCCAACGTCAGTGCAGAATGGCATAGTTTGTTAAAATGGGTGATGGCTTAGAAAACTGCATATTACTCCGCCAGACAGAATCCTTCATTCACCTTTCTTCCTTTTGTTTATAAGATCAATTTTGTTTTTGTCAAACCTGAGTCACTTTTACCTGCCCTGACCTGAAACAAGCAAAGGCAGAGGTGTTGTCATACAGAGCGCTAGTCCGAGAGAAAATACTTGTTTTTGACAGCTAGTCTCTGTGAGATCAAGAAACCCCTATCAGCTTCCCTAAGGAGAGCATTGACATTGATCCCAGTAAAACCTATTCCATTCCTTATTTAGAAAAATTAATAACTTTACACTTTCAGAATAACAGATTTTAGTATGGAAATACCTGACGTAGAACTCGATGCCTATTTGTTGTAAATCCAAAGATCCCTTTACTATTCCCCATGTGTTTTGCACGATTAAAATCTGTTTAGGAGTGAGAGGTCCATGTTTTTCTGGTTTACTGTCTGTAGTCTGCTTGTCTTTACCAGATGACTCTGTGCCTGATTCTGGCTGCTCACTAATCTTTCCTTCCTTCTCTTGTTCAGCTGCTACCGGCTTTGTTTGTTTAATAACTGGAAAAGGCGCGTTTTCCACTCTTGTTGATTTACTGTTCCCGCATCCCATGTTTACTAACTAAAACATGCAATTAAGACAAGTTATACCTCTGATTATCTCGGCCTTTGGTGATGACATATGCGGGCCGGTATAACGGAAATACTTGTCTAGCAATGACAAGGGGAAATGATTTTTAGTTAAGGCATATCACCTGTCGCGTAGAGTGTTTGTCGCATTTACCTTTTGTTTTCAACTTGACAGTAATCCCTCCTTTTTATTATTTGTCTTTTTAGTATTAATTACCGTAAATCCTCTGTTAAGCCGCCCTCCTCCTCCCCCTCACCCCTGATTATTCTACTGATCCGGGATGTTTACAAATGGTTGACCTTCAAGCCTAAACTAAGACTAGGAGCCGACGTACTGTAGGTTGGAGGAACATTAATTCGAAAAGATGAAAAATAAGATCCAGAAATACCTCTTGACTGTGGTAGAAGAAAAGACTTACATGAGTTAAGCCCCCTGTCTCTATTGAGCACCCCCCCCCCCTTCCCCCCTCAAATAGACCTGAAACCTAAATAAGTCCCGCCCGGGGGGGCTTAAAAGACGGTTTACGGTATCGTATATTCATTTTCACCGACGGAATTGCAAGATTGTACATAACACAAAGCGTAGCCGCTGTCGCAACAGCAGCCCTCAAGATAGCTTTAAAACTTGAAGGATTGTGTACGAGTGCTAGTTTTTAAACCAAATTCGTGTGCGTCATATAATTACTTATCTACCAAGATTATCCCTAACGTAATTTTTGTAGTAGTCAGTAACAGAGTTAAGTTGTAGTTTGTTTGTTTTGGGGAATGTGTAATCTGAGCGCAGAATTCCTAATCATATTCGTAAAGTAACTCCATTTCGTAATCGTAAGTTAAATATGAAGGTCGCTGTTCAATCGTTTCCTCTCGAGATGGAGAGTGTGTGTGCAGACTTAGTTCAGAGAGTCGAATCTCAAGCAACATTGCGTAATAGAATGGTCACGTGACGACAGATCACGGTTGAACAATAAAGCTAATAGACTCCGGAGGTACTTGTAAATAGAAATCGATACCTGTATCGACGCTAGTCTGAGGTCGAACATCGCAATGAACTAGTACACTTATAATCTCAAACAGAGAATAAATCTTTTCACCAAAAAATATACAGTTAGTCCACACTTAAAAAGTATTCTCAGTTTTCTTGCCTTTTTTTTCTGTTTTATGTATAAATACCATGGTTGGTTGCCCTGTCTGTTCCAACATTAACGATTTACCTCTTTCGGGATTTGTAGAGAACCATTGGGAAGAAATTTGATGTTCATTCCTCAGTTGTTAAGAACAACACTAAAGAGTCTAGCTCACTGAAATGAAGAGTTTTAATTTCAGTTCGCTTTGTTTTAGTTGTTTTTTTTTTGTGAAGAGAAAATCCATTTTCCGCTTCAACGACTCAAGATAAAAAAGGTAATATATCAAAGATATTTGATTCGCAATAAAGAATACGCGCTTTTGTTTTCTCCCCTTGTTTTCTCAAAATCTGGTCGAGGTTCATAAGTATTTTAACGAATCTAAGTGGTAAAAACGGGACAGTAACAAACACATGCAGAAATACACCAGTTTATGGCACATTTTCTAAGGTTGGTGTTTAACTTTAATCGTTTACGAGGTGCTTATTGTCAAGGATACAACAAAAAATATACTTTCCTTGGAAAGAATATAAACAGTGATAGCGAGAGTAAGTAAACTTGTCAATCTAAGAAATACCAATATAACGAGGCTCGATATGGTTGATACCGTTGTAGTCAGTATCATGAACTGCACCTTTTTGCACTCTGTGTATTACCCTTAAGCCTACAGAACTAAAAGACCCGAAAAAAACTGTCGGGAGCAGACATTTCGGAGCCATGTATTAGATTCCTGTGATTTAGCTATAACTGATAGAGACGCGTAGATTTGGAAAGTGAAACATTGAGCTAACAGCTGTTTTAGGACAGTTCAAAGTAACTACATCACAGTGAGATTTATGACGACAGACTGGTTATTCGAGTTAATTAACAGAAAGGAACTGTAAGTTAAGGGAGTAACATACCTCAGTCCACAGTATTTGCTGTCTGCAACTCAGGCGACAAGTCAACTTTTGATCCCTTTTTATGTCTCACTCAACCCCTGAAATACGCCGTTCTTGACTAAGTTGAGTGACTGGTAATACGTGCGTGAAAAATAACAGTGCGAAAAAGTCGTAAATGAAACCGGAACTCAGTTAAGTGAAAGATAATGTTTAGAAACAAATACCTGATTGCAGAAGGACTTAACTGATTTGAATGCTTGCATCTCAATAACCTATTTCGGTAACTTGAGGCCATTTGCATAATGAGTAGGTTAATCAAACTATCGTGGCTTGTTATGAAATCGCCACAGCTTTTTCAGCTTAGTTTTTCATAATGATTTTTTTTGTACTAGTTTAAATCTTTACGCTTCTCTCTACACACTTCGCATGGTTCGTAAAAGAAAAATGTCTTCAAAAATCAGGCATTTAATCCTTGAATAATCATGTTCTGTTTTTTCACTGACATCTATGTTTGCATAGGTATTATTGTGTTAAGAGAAATTTTATGCTGATCACGGCTGAAAACCTTAAAAGATCGAGGGTTCTATATAGCCGCAAAGTCAACAACTGATGTTTGATCTAGTCAAGACTCCGAAGAAAAATGAAGCGAAACCAAAGTCGAACCCCCCGTACGTTACCACCCAAAGTGGAGTGGGCGCTTACGAGAATAGCAGTTCAGTCCCCAGATGTTCCCTTTTGTCCCGCTATCCGCGCGAAGTCTGGAAAAGGGTGGGTAAGGGGTAAGGAGTTGGAGTCGGTAAGGAGTTCTTTGTGAGTTTCTCTCGATGATGTCACGGCTCACGGTGGAGTCCAGGTTTGACTGAGCAGAAAACGCCTTGGGACTAAGCTGCGACAATTGAACCCCAGGGGTTCTCCTCTCAGAAAAGGTGGGGACAAATCAGCCTAGTTTTGCGAAAAGTGTAGTTCAGTGTTTGAGTTCAATGTTGTCACGAAATGTTCAATATTGTCATTCTTTGAGTAGCATCCTGGGAACATATAAAGAACATAGAGATCAAACGATCAATCAAGTGGCCTCTCACAAGAGGCTAAAAACGGTGGAAAATAAAACTGTCCACGTTTAATGAATAGAAAATTTTGGTGTTTTGAATCGTTGGTCGCTTACAAGAGGTGGTTGCACATGGAAGAATGAATGGCAGGAATATAATGCAACTAAATGAATTGGATTATGAACTAAACCAGTCAGAGGCGGTCAATTTCAATGAAATTCAAACAAGTTTCTGAGTTATCGGCATTTTTCAGTTTGGACCTTTTTAATCCTCTTGATCCGTAAAGGCCAATATCGAGCCATCTCGACCAAACAAGGTTGGACAAATGAGAGGAAAAAGAATCGTTTTTCTTGCCGAACAGGAAGGGAAACGCCCCTCAGTAGACCCCGCCATGTAATAATATCCCATATCATTGCACATTTTGCCTCCACTACTCAACCGGTACACACAAGACAACAATGTTCATATATGGGCGCGTGGGCCAGCCAAGCCACCGTGCCGTTTATTCAACATATATGCAGATATGTACAAATATCAAGTATTATCTATAAACGAAAGAACAGAAGCACCAAAGCCGGACACGAAAACCCCAAAAAACCAGCAGGTGGAAAAAACACAGGGAACGTGTACCCGCGACCAAGGCAGTGGTGCAACCCTTGGGGTTTTAGGGTATGCTAGTGCCTAAACTATAAACATCAATAAAGACATAAAATAAAATAAAATAAAATAAAGAGAGAAAAGCAACCTAACACGGTGAAGGCTGACCGTAGAATGCCTCACCTTCCTAACGACCACGAATTACAAACTCGAATCCCATGACTCACTGCGCACTAACACCCTCCCCACACCTCTGATACGTGCCGGCAAAATAGTAATTTATGATAATACGGTGTAATCACAAATTACATGATGTTTGGTATCAGTAACGTCCGTTTGACCCTGAAAAGACATATTTTTATTGATTTGGAATAAATTAATTTTATTGAAAATACAGCCACTTTATCATCTTCAATTTGTGGTTTTGCTGCTGCGAGGATTAAAGTATTCATAGAGAAGCTGCTCTGCCGGTTTAAACACTGTTTTCTTGAAGTGCACCGCATCATACTTGTCTAAACTGCCATCTGTTCCCTCGGGATACGAGGCACTCATCGGAAAAACATCGAGAATCTCAATTCCTGCTTTGCACATGGCCCAGATGGCGTACGCGTTGTACAGCTGTATGCGCTAAATAAAAAGGAAAAATGAAATATTTTAAAACTGAAACATTTTAAGACAATGACGAAAGGACTATACAGACAGGTAGACAGACAAACAGACAGACAGTCTGCTTATTGTCTGAGTAACGGGCTGACTGGCCAACTGTCGGACTAACTGGGCGACTGACTTCATTACCAACTAAATGACTGACAGAAAGTCTGGCAGATAGCCAAGTGATTGACTGACTAGAGGGAAAACTTGATCACTTTCTGTAAGATTGGATTACTGAGTGACTGAATGAATAACTACCTGATGAACCGACTGATTGTTTCACAGACTGATTGACTGGGTGATATTCGGCTGACTGACAGACTGACTCACTGCCTAATCTAGCCGCCAGTCAGTTATTCACTCAATCAATAATAATAATGATGATGATGAATAGCGCTTTATAATAATTCACTCAGTTAAAAATCCAGAGCCGTAACTAGCGGGAAGGCAGGAGGGGCAGTTGCCCTCCCCCTCCCTCTCCCCTAGACCTGTTGAGCCAGACAAATCAAGTCTGTGGATGGATTTGTTTTCTTTAGACTCAGTTATTTTTAGCTTATTTTGATTGTAGTGAATTGTCTGCCATTGTCATGGCCGAGAAATTGGTTGGTCCACGGTGTGTGCAAATAGAAAGCAAAAGGAAGCAAAACCCTCTATTGAAATTGGCGTGCATATGAACTATTACTTGCGATATGGTGGACGGTAAATAACAATGGTTCGCAGAAAGAAACAACGGCAAACTGTTCCTCACGGCCCGAAGAAGAAAACATACAGGATAAAATTCAAAAATTATATTTTTGGCTTTCTATTTTAAATTTGCTTTGATTTTGGTTTTTCTTCTTTCTGCCGTTGGGAACAGTTTGCCGTTGTTTTTTTTAAGGGCCAAATTATTTTTAAGAGATCCTGCTACCAAACTCATATTGGTTTATCGTTTTTATGTTTTGTTAAAAGGCAATTAGACACTGACTGACTGACTGACTGACTGACTGACTGACTAAATGAAGGAATGGATGGATGGATGGATGGATGGATGAAGCATACTTTAGGCGATTTATATCTTAACCGCTGATAACGTTACCTGAAGAGTTAGGAATCGCGGACTCGGGTGATCATGATACAGGAACCTCTCCCTGTGAATGGCTGTTGTAGTTTTCCAAATCAATTTCCCTCGAAACTTGAGCTGCACTTTACCGTATTTATTCACCCAGGTTTCTTTAAACATAGCGATAATGTCATCAATCAGCTTGCGATAAACTGCAAATTTTAAAGAAGAAACGTAATGCAATCCACAGTTTAGGACGATAACACTTTTTTCGTCCATTTGAGGAAGATATATTACATCCCTGATTTCGTTTAACACTCGCCAAGGATCAAAGTCACGATAGTTTCTCTTATATTTCTCAATTTCTACCGGTTCGTTCATGTTGTAGACCCAGTTGTAGGTAATATTACAGGCTTTGAATATTTCTGTGCATAATGGCGTGTAATAAATGGAGTCGTAGAATCTGAGAGCAAGTGAATCACCGTAAATCCACAGTATTCCTTCTCTTCTGCGCGGGGAAGGCTCGAACAAGTTATCTGAAAAGAAACAATAATGTATCAGTTTGAAAGTGGGACAAACAATATAAAGTTATCTTTTTTAGAGAGGCCTGATGAATTCGTGAATTGTCACCCGACGCAAACTATTCAGCAGCAAACTCAGTCAAATATCTTCTATTTCCTCTCATATTTCCTCAACGTAGTACCTAAGCGTTCTCTCTTGCCCACTTGTCCGCGCGAAGTCTGGGAAAAGAGCGGGCGAGAGAACGCGTTCTCAGCAATCTCAGCAAGTCCCTCTCGGTGACGTCACAGCTCAGGGTAGAGTCCAGGATTGACCGCGCCGAGAACGCCTGGGAACTAGGCTGATATTTCCTATATTCTTAAACCAAAGGTAGCCTTGTCGCTAATTCTCAATCAGCGGAATGAACTTCAAATCTCCTGAGAAGATTTAAATTATCGAAAAGTAAAGAAATCAGGGTTCTACATTGTGAGTGTAGTAACGACGTGACAAAGCATTCGTCCATTCAGGTGAATCATGAAACACCTAACCCCTACCAATTACAGCATGTGCGGGAAAACGACGCTTAAGGTGGTGCAAGGCTTGAAGATTACTATATTAGTTAGGATTGGCAGGTGGTGAGAAATGTTGTATAACTTAAAGTGCATTTTCACTAAATCTTGGAGCATAAAATTACATTTACAGACAGCGAATTAAACGTACTCTTGCTTCCAAAAATACTGATTAAAAAAAAACTCAGTTATACGCGGGTAAAAAGCCTTACCGGGAGCATGCGCTATCCACGAGCCATTCATCCAATAGCCAAATCCATCCGATAAAAACTTACAGTCAGTACCACAGTGGGACGGATTTCCATATCCATAACTTAAAAATTCTTCTGAAAAAAAGGTACATTAAATAAAATATATGTGTAAATTACATTCAAGCCCCAGCAAAGGAAGTTAACAGGCCGTAAGGACCCTCATTTCAGTGTCTCCAAGACTGTTCGTACCCCACTGTTTGTACGCGTGATTGTCGTGTCCGAAGGGTCGCTGAACTTGGTTTTTATAGGTTAAGCGAAAGCTGAGAGTAGTACAATTTGCCCTTGTGGGTAGGGCTGGGAGGCCAGATATGTCTCCAGTCCCCGACCCCTTGGGCAATATGCATACTCCAGCTCCCCTGCCACCATCGTTCACCAGATTAAATCAAGAGGGCGCTCTTTCTTTCTGTCTTTCCCGAAAACAACTGGGAAAAAAGGAGACTGTAAAAATATCTAACTATCCCCATGGGCTCCTATTTTAGTATTTACAACTTTCAAGCAACGCTTTAGGTCATTTTCTTTTGAGTCAAGTCAGTAGGAATCAAAGAACTGGCAAGTAAGAATAGTTCGTACCATCTCTTCTCATTGGCCCGCGACTCGCGGGCACTTCAAAGCACAACGGTTCTCCGCCCGCTAAGGGATGCATCAAATACACTTGCTTTCCACCCAGAATGCCCTGAGGCTGGTTGCTTCCATGGGTATTTCCTGCAAACATAAAGGACCATGTTTGGAGTACGCTCGAGAATTGAGGGTAGGCTTTTATGTATAGGTCAGCGTTGCTCTACATTTTACGAGTATCGGTTTTCAATAGTTGCAGTTGGTACCTTAGTACTTGAGTATGCGAGGCTACAGTTTACCGTAAATGACCTAATTGAAGCTCCATAACAAATGAATGTCTCTTGTCTAATAAATGCCCCCCCCCCTCCCTCTTACCACCACCACCACCACCACCATCACGATGTTTAATTGTATCAGACGCGCTTCTTTAGTGAACGCTCCCTTTCTAATAGACGTCAACCGTGACAATTACTTTTAAAAACCTAAACAGCGAAAGAGAGCAAAATCATTTAATTCATTCAGTTTCTTGGTTGATTGGCGGGGGTTTGCGTATTGCCTCTTGCTCAATGTCAGGTTCAAAGTAAGGATAAGCTAACGATTACAACAAAATGGTTCCGAACAAGGATTCCGACATCAAACTTGAGGTTTAATAGAGCGAGATGGATCTTTAGGCAGCCTATTCGTACCAATGGATGGACCTTGGATATTCTGTTATTTATAAACTCTCTTAATCTTTTCGCCGAAAGTGTATTAGTTTTTTTGAGCTTGTTAACTCTTAAACGCCTCCTACCTATTAAACGCGTCCTTCTTGGACACCTAAAGTTAAATAAACGCTCCGGATGTCTATTAGATCATTTTACGGTCACATTGTTTTGATAATAAATTCGTCCCTGGCTGAACCCTTTCACAATAAAGACAAGGGCGCAATGCAGTTTGAGTGACCATGGCCTTTTAAAGGCGCTCTTTGTAAGTTGGTTACTATGACACTGTTTTCTTACCCGAGATAAACCAGTAGTCTGGAGGGTCCTTCATGCCTTCACATATAGAATGATCCAGAACAGCCGATACGCAATAATTTCCAGGGCGAAGAATCAGAAACAAGATCTCATAGGAGCCATTTCCGTGATCAATTACCGTTGGCGCAAATCCAGTAGGGCCTGAAATGAACACTCGCCAATAGTCTCCGCCAACTGATTTAATAAGCCCATAGGCGGTCTGGGTACGAATCATAAGCCTACTAAATTCACCAGCAGGGTGGATGTCCATGAAATCAAGAAAGCTGAAGCGCCCATTCGTTCTATTTTCCTTGCTCCATCCGGGCAAGCTGTATTCGTAGACTGTGTTTTGTTCACAGGGTTCTCGTATTCGTTTCCAGTCTATTCTCGCGTTGCGCATTCGGCACCAGTCCCTACCAAAGTCTCGTAGAGTGTTCCGATTGACGTTGCTTGTCAGATACAGAGGATAGTTCCATTTAAGGTAAATAAATAGTAAAATTATGAGTCCCCAGTAGAAACAGAAAGCTCTTCGGAAGAGAAAAAGGCGGGGGAGACCTTTCAGCGTACCCAGCCTGTGAACACGAGATTCGAGTGTGAGCTTGAGTTTTGGAATCAGTGTTTTTCTGCGCATGCTTTCGATACTGAACTGCTCGTGCGAAG